CCTCATAGTAGTAGAGTGGGCCTGATGCACCTGCTCTACTACTATTCCGTACTAGTACCATGTTATTTTTACGAGGGCTATTTCTAATTAGCAGTAGTGCAGGCCATATAACCCGCGCCACTGTTAAATGATTAACTATAGTGAAATCAAAGCAGGACGTAGGGTATTATCTTTTTGAGAGTCCGAACGTGGGTAAAATCATGTGTCCATGTCATCATCACATCAATACTATTAGTTCGAGACCCCTGAGATCTGCTGGATTTGACTCCATCAGTACATTCACTGTGACAAACCAAGATGTGATTGGATGGTTAGAAGGACAGTGGTATCTCCACCCCACCAAAGTTTAAGTCCTGGTGCTCACATTTATTTACCTTCAGCGTGGACTGTTAAAATTGTTGCTCAAACTGAGCTAGTAAGAAAACCCGTTTGCTGTGATTCTACACACCAAACATTCTATTGGACTCCAAACATTTTAAGGTGCTCAGAATCATTTTCAAGAACTTCACAGAAAATCAAGTATAGATCATCCATGAACAGAGTGTTAAATTTGCAGGACAAACAGTGTTAGAAACATGCACTTTCTGTTGCTGTACACCAGTGAACACACTGTGCTCAGCAAAATCTGGAGAAGGATCCCCAAAATCAAGCATTTTCATACGTTTGTAGCTGTGCACCCCGGACAACAACACCAAATCCAATTAGTTCTTGAAAATACATCACATCATTGCACAATAATTTACTTGTACAGTCTCTTCACTCACGGGTTTCAGACTACAGCCCCTTATAGCTTAATCCAGTTTTGTCTTTTGGCCTGCTGCCACTGGAACCTGCTGTACAGGAGGTTCCCGAGAGCGAGACAATGGATTCATTTAGCGAGCATTGAGAAATTCAGAATGGTGATATGGAAAAGTGCATTAGACAGAAAAGTGAGCACTGGAATATTTCTTTTTCCTAGGAGTGTGGAGGCACCTTACAAAACCTCCGTTCGGAATTACTTGTCGCAGAAATGGATGTATCTAGACGTATTTTAGTTCTAGATACATCCATTTCCGAGACAAGTAATTCCAAACGGAGGGAGTACAAAAGGATCAAATTTACATTGGAGGTAGGAGTTCCCAAGCTGCTGCTGCTGGCCTACTGTAGCAGTATGCATATAGCTGGGTTGCTGGCCTTGGCTGAAGCCTGAACATGAAATGGGGATGAGCATCTCTGTCAGAGGAGACAGAACAGACAGGTTCAGAATGTACGCTCACATTCAAATTAGGTGCACGAGGATATCCCAAATTTCTGACGTAGGAGATACGAGTTCGATCAATTCTAGCATATTGATCTGGTCTGAAAATCAAATTCTTGTCCCAGAATCTATGGGTGTGTCTTCTGCATGCAGTCAAGGAACTGAAAAATAATCATCCTGTTTAGTTCAAAACATGTGATAATAATAAACAGAGAAAAAAAGCAGGTTTACCCACTGAACCCTTTCAGGTTACTGGTATGGAAGGAAAACAACAGGTAGCCTTTTCCGACATGGCAGCATAAGATCCCCAGTGTGCCTTTTCAAATTAAATTCCGACAAGTGGAGAAAAAAGTATGATTATCGAAACATCAAAATCAAGATGACCACGTGGGTGTGAGGTTCTGAAGAAAATCAAACCCAATACAGACTGTGCCATACTCAAAAGAGAGAACAAGCTAACAATTTTTTAGTACAGTGGTATGATGCTTGTGTGGGTATGTTAAGTCAGAATAAGACATAAATGGTGGCACGCAACTTGTTAAGCACCTCCCAAGTCTCAATCCACAACACGAACAGATAATACGAATGATGCTCAGATGAATAGAGTTCAATTTGGCCATTTAAAGCCGGATGCTAACAGTAATACTAGTTTCTTACAATTACAGGTACTTCCCTGCAGGTGGCAGTCACAATTTACAGAGTTGAAGTTCAGGGATGTGTAACGTAGTCGCAGACGGGTTGCTGGCCTGGCGTGAAGTCTGAACTTGGAATAAAGATGAGTAGAAGATCACATACGCTCAAAGTAAATGCCTAAATTCAAATTTGGTGTCTGCTTGCAAGGTCTTCCGGAATTTTGATCAATTTTAGCATACAGATGTGGACTGATTATCAAATTGATCTCTCAGCATCTTTGTATCTATCTTCTGCAAGCAGTCAAGGATCTGAAAAACAATCATCTTTTTTTCAGTTCAAAACATGGGACGAATAATAAATAGTGAAAAGACAGGCTTTACCTCTTGAAGCTTTCAGTTTTTTATATGACAGCGAAAACATTAGACTTTTCCGGCAACATAAATCCCCAGTTTGATTTCCGAAATCGAAACCAAACCTGTTCATATCACAAGAAAAATATGTTAACATTCTTGCCCCCTTAAAATACAAGTACTGTACCAGGTTACCCAGGACAGGTATGGCCTGGGCAATCCCTCCAATAGCATACAATTGTATGATTTTGGTGTGTAGTCGAAAAATTACTGGGTATGTGGTAGAAGTATACCTTAGGAAGATACTCAGTAATCAGTTCACATAGCGCTTATAAATTTTGACCTTTAGCTTGCTTGTTGCTAGCAATCTGCATTGTTTTGATAGTTCGACCTTGCAGCCGTTGGTTGCCAGTTTTTTCAGAGAGGATGGGAGGCCGTCCTTCGGAAGTCCTGAGATGCGATTACAATGTATGATCTTCAACGTCTTTAGGGAAGGGAGTCCGCGCAGCCCCGAAGGAAGATCTAAGAGATGCCTGCAATCCTTAAACTGGAGCTCCTGCAGGGAACTGAGGAGCAAAAGCGCACTCTCTTGCTCATCTGTTAGCCTCGTTGCATCCGAATAAATAAGCTTTAGGCTTCGGAGGCAGGTGAGGCCCTTGCAGAATGATGTGTTAAGGGGAGACAAGTCATCAATCTTGAGACTTTCTAGTGCAGGGAATAACCCATAACTCTCCAATATGGTAAGAGAATTCAAGGCAGGGGACTTGAGTATTTCCATATGCTTGAGGTTCACGAGGGATTGCAAGCCCTCTAGTGCGACAAGCGAACTACACTTATAAATTTCCAAACATTGCAGCGACCTGCAGGAATGCAGCTGTAGAGATTTCAATCTTGAGTTTTCAAATAATACCAAAGACCTGAGGGTTCCAAGCGATTGCATGCCCTCTAGTGCGATGAAGCATTCACATTTGTTGATCTCCAATTCTTCCAATGCCGTACAGGAATCCAGCTGTAGATATTCCAAACTTTCGCTATTTACTTGTAATCTTCTGAGGTGTGTGCGATTACCCACAAAGCAGGGTCGTAGAGTTTCACGGGAATAATGCCACAAAAAAAGTTGTTCAAGTGACTGTGGGAGGAGACATTTTCCATTCTCTATGGCATCTTTCTGTAGCTCCTCAAGGGAGGTAAATCCAATGAAGCATTCCTTACTGCCGTCAAATATTAGATTAGGGGATTCACAAATTGTTATCTTTCTGAGATTCAACGGAATGTGCATGAGCCCACCTATGACCGAGCTTGCCCAAGCACCATCTATATATCCTGATGACACTCGAACTGAGCTTCGCAATGCATCATCTAGATATCCTGATGACGAAGCCTCGGTAGCAGACATATGATTTGATTGAATTTTCCCGTCCACTTGTATCCTTAACAATTTCAACTGCGGGCAGTCATATAAATCCAATTCCTTTAGAATCGGCGAATGTCGCATCATCAAAGATAACCACTTCCACGTTATTCCACACTTTATAATAAATAGACTTTCAAGAGACGAGAGAGCAACATCATTTGCAACTGGCATGTCTTCATGGCTGTGCTCTGGCACATCTAAAGAGAAAAGTTCTCGGCAGTACCCTATTTTCAAACTCTTTAAAGAGATGAGCTGACTTAAACCTTTGAATGAAATAGATGTTAGGTTTCCGCACGATGATATCTCCAAATATTTGATATCCTTAAGATTATAGAATGCCAAATTTTTGTCATTGAGTGCCATCATCTCACGCAAGAGCGTATTTCCACTAATTTTGAATGTTTCCATGGAAGATCCCTCCATTGTCATAATTGTTGAAACTCTACTGATCAATATTTCAGAACATTTAGCTGAAGGTGGAAGAGGGCTCTGTACATGCAAATGAGGACAATCGCACATAATGAGTTTCCTCATACTAGGCAACCATGACTTATGTTCAATTTCGTAGTTATGACCTTTCTGAAACAGATCAAACACCTCAAGTGCAGGGCAACTCTTGATCTCCAATACCCTTAAACTAGACTTCATATTCCCCATGGAAGTACAGAAACATCTTTGTAAATCTGGCATTCCATTTAAAACCAGCTCGTCCACTGACGGAATTGATACTTCTCTTACTCTCTGCATGTTCCTCAACTTCAATCTTTTAAGAAACCGAAGCATTTCCAGCGAAAGAATTATTGTCCATTCTCCGCAATCCTCGAGTTGAACCGTATGCAATGACATAAAGAAAAAAAAAAGGGCAACCTGGTGCATGTAGCTCCCGCTTGCGCAGGGTCCAGGAAAGGGTCCGACCACTTTGGGTCTATAGTACGCAGCCTTTCCCTACATTTCTGTAAGAGGCTGTTTCCAGGACTTGAACCCATGACCTCATGGTCACAAGGCAGCAGCTTTACCACTGCGCCAAGGCTCCCCTTCCAATGACATAAAGAAAGCAACATCCAATACCTGAAGATGGAAAGATTTGCTCAAAACATGAGGCAAAGGCTTCTGCTCAGCATTATCATCCTCAAGTTTTAGATACCGAAGACGTGTAGGATTGACCAAGCTACACAAGAAGGAATTAAAATCAGCAGATGTTGCAGACATTTGCAGCAGACGCAGATTATGTGCCTTTCCAAATATATCTTGGAATGCTTTGAAGAAAAAGGAGTCATATTCCCCAATTAACACCAAAGTTCTCAGTTTTCTCACTGATGTGACTATATTTTGCATTAAAAATTCAAACCTCTCACTACGAGATATGTTCCTAGTCTGATCATCCCTCTGATATACAGAATTGGTTACTACAGACAAATGGTGTACAGTTGACAAAATTTCAGTGCACTGCAAACCATCCAAAGCTGCACACTCAGTTCTTGAAACTAGCCTTGCAAAATCATGCATCAGGCCACACATAGCATAATAGGTTTGACTACCAGGAGTGGATCTTTTTCTTTTAACCTGCTCAAACAATCCCAGGTTCAGCAAGTCAGTCAGATAGCATTGTCCAATCTCCTCTAAACTCTTACTTGAATAAACATGCTTCACAAATCTCTGTGAAATCCAAAAACGAACTAGCTCCTCAGCAAGAAATTGATGGTTGTAGGGGAATATAGAACAATATGAGAAGCACTGCTGTAGATGGTAGGGCAGCTCATCATAGGAAAGCTTCAAAGCAGACATGATGCCGCCAGTGTGTTGCAAGGATTTCCAATCTTCGGTCTTCAGAATGTTACTCCAGTGATCTACGGTAAGATGATCTTTTAACAGTGTCCCTACAGTTTCTGCTGCTAATGGGTTTCCCTGTAATCTTTTTGCTATCTGCCGCCCAATCTCGCTTAGACTAATTTGCTCTTCATAGTTCTCATCACCAAATGCACATGCTTTGAACATTAGCCAGAAATCACCATTTTTCAAACCCTCTAACTTAATTGATCTAATTGTTCCTCTCCTATTTGCAACAGAAGGTTTTCTAGTTGTCACAATTATCATATTGCCATTTGCACCATCAGACTTGAAAGGAGCCAGCAATTTGTTCCATCTGCATTTATCCATGTCTTCCCAGACATCATCTAAAACAAGTAGAACTTTCTTTGATTTAACATGACCCTTCAAGACCTCCTGAAGCTTGGGAAAACATAGGCCATCATGTGTTTCTTGGGAGACGTAACCTAATATATCTCTTGTGAGTCTCATTTCATCAAAGTTGTTAGACACCCAAATCCATATCTTGTGATCAAATTGACTTCCCACAGTTGGATCATTGTATACAAGCTGAGCAAGAGCTGTCTTCCCAACTCCTCCGATGCCTACAATAGGCAGAACAGTAACACCGGCAGTTGATTTGTGTTCTTTTACCAACGCTTTGATGGATCTCTTCTCTGCAGCTCTCCCATACACTTTTCCTTGAACAAGACTTGATGTTCTTCGGCGTGGATCTGAGATTGTACTTTGATGGTGATTTGAACTTGCACCAGAGTCTGACCCAAGTATCTTGAGAAGCCTTGTGATTGCCTCTCGTTTGCCTTGCAGCTGACAAGTGATGTCTTGTATCGTTTCGGAAAATTTTGGGTTAGTTGTGGGTATGTGTGTGGACACCTCACCGGTTCTCATCCTTTTTCTGCCAGATGAATTACCTGCTGCAACATGCGTAGAAATTGTGGTAGCATCGACAGTGCTGCAATAAAGAAATAAATAGTGGATTGGCAATGAGAACCTTAATACAATCTTACAGCAGATGTACAAAAGAAGAGACTCAAAAATATGTTGGTAAAAGGCACTAAAATTATTTAGGTACCTTGAAGAAGGGTCACTTGCTCGGCGTTTGTTGCTACAAGCTTTGCTCTTGAGATGATTGCGCAAAACTGATGTCCCTTTTTTGGTTTCACACATAAGCTCTGTTTGGCAGAGTTTACATCTTGCTCTGGCAGGCCCTCCGTTTTGTTCAAACTCTGTGATGTCAAAGTGAATCCATTCCTTGGACCGTAACCTGCTATTACCGCTACTCTGTACACCAACTACAGTTTCACTAGATCTTTCAACTTGCTGCGTTTCATGTCCATCCATTTCGAGCAGCGTCTCTAAAGCACAAGAAGAAGTGGACCAGATATATTTAGCTTAGTCGTGCTCCAGGGGGAAAACCAATTAGCAAGAAATTCAGAGCTACTTGGATATGAACAAATTCGTTACCAAAATTACCTGGTTGGAGCTCCTGCTGGAGCCTGTAGCAGTCCAGCTCGTCGACCACATCGTCGGCGTCGTAGAGCAGCTCCTTGACGGCTGCCAGAGATCGGGTCAACGGCTTGTTCCCGGCCGCTCTCCCCTGCACAGCAGAAACCACCATGTCCACCGCCTCCACCTCGGACCTGAGCTTATCGACGTCGTTGCCGAGGTCAGCTTGGCGGATCCATGAATTCAGCTTGCCGCCGGCTGGGAGATTCGCGAGGATGGTATCTGCGAGCCAGCCGATCGCGGCCTCCAGATTGGTGTCTTCCACCGCCTCCATCATCAGATCCGGCGGAACCGCTGAAGCAGGTGATCGAGAGCGGCAGCAGCGGGAGGCGACACGCGAGGAGACCTATAGCAGCAGGGAGATGGAGAGACGGCAGAGGGGATGAGGAAGAGGAAGGTTGACTTTTATAATTAGAGACTGTTCATATTATTACATGGGCCATCTTTCTCAACGAGCCCACTCTGGCCCATGGCTGCTCTGGTTTTGTTGCTAAAAAAAACTGCTCTGGTTTTAATCCCCCTAAAAAAAGCTCTAGCTTTAATCTCAAGAACATAAAAAAGTGTTCCTTTACTTTTGGAAATGCTGCAGGCGGGTGCGAGCGGCGGCGTACCCAAAGGATGCGAGGAAGCAGGTTAACATGCCCGCGCCAGGGAGGTGTGGGGATCACCGGACTTTTCGCAAATCGGGGAGCTTAGAAGGATAGTTGGGGCGGTGGCTAGCACGACGGTGGGGAGAGGTAGATGTGCAGCAACGCCCGCCGGCCAAGGAGGAGGAGGCAGGCGGTTAGGGATGGGTATACCACAAGGAAAGAATAAGGTGGATAGTGGATTTGGGTAGAAAAGGGTTGGAGGAGAAAGAAGGTGATCTAGCCGCTCATTTCTAGTCCAAAATTCAAGCGCATTTTTTTTAACAGTGCAACCGTAGACGTTCATACATACGCATATACACTCATTCCTATGAATGCACGCACGCGCCCCTTGTGACTTGGGTCGGTCCATTTTTGGGGGGTTTTCCCTCGGATTTCTCAAAGTATTTCTGCCAATTTTCCACCAATCTATACGCTTTAATTTTCACCGACCTTTTTATCCTTTTTGTGCCTTCACTTTCCCTGTTTTTCTTTTTTCTAGTAAATCAAACATTTTTCTCCTAAAATAAATGATCTCCTTCCATAACACATCAACATGTTTTAAAGTGCATGAATATTTCTTTTTTTGGTGCATGAATATTTTTTAAATACATGCCTAACATAAGAACATTTTTTAATCATCAATACTTCTTAGTACTTAAATACCTAAATTATTTTCACATATATGAATTCTGTTTTGTATAAATGAACATTTTATTTTTAACTTGAATATATATTAATATTTTTATTTTAAAAATTATATAAGAAAAATAAAATCATAACTTAAAAATGTTGTATAAAAAGATTCCATAAAAAGAAAAGCTTTTTGTTGGGCCGAACCAGTCCGGCCCATGTGGGTGCTATTCGGTCTATATGATCAGCCAGACACTCCAGTTGACACATTTCTTTATTATTAAGAATTTTTTGTGTCTGCACCACGTGACACATGTGGTAAGCAATCTAAACAATTCCCAAATAAAATTTATGTCTGAACTTGAGTTTCTGTCTAAGGACAAGCCTAGGCTGGCAGCACAGACCACTCGATGCAAGTGGCTAGCGACGGTGGCAATGGTTGTGGCATCCAGCGCCGGCAGAGGCTATTTGTGGGGGTGGGGGGGGATTAGTGCGAGCGAAGTGGTCTGGTTCGACATGGGGGTGCCTTTAGTCTGTGGCAAATTTGCCAAAAAAAACATGTAAGCTCTTTGTATTTTGCGCTGTTTCGATCACATATTCAGCCAAATGTGAATCTCTTTAGCAAGTTTGGTGACCATATTTAGGGTGTTTAAACTAGAGTGACCAAAGTGAGTTGAGTTCCAGAACAAATAAAAAAAATTGAATGTAAGGGGTTCCCCCTCACCCCATTTTATTAGAGCATCTCCAGCCATTCGGCCCCCTAGGACGCCGAAAAAGAGCCGCCTGGGGGCGAACCGGCGTTTGTTGGCGCGTTGGGGGCTATTGCGTTCCCAGTCGTCGCCCCAAGAAATGCGCAAACCAGGTGAATTTTCATGCAAATTTGTGCAAACTCGGCGACATGGTACAAACTCGGCGATAATTCATAGAAATTTGTACAAACATGCAGACTGGAGGCCTAAACTACGCCTGGAACTACGCCTAAAACATGCAAACTACTGCAACTGCTACGCCGCCCGCCTTCTACATGCCAAGGAGGTTATAGAATCGGGTGTAGTTGCCGCCGCCGCCGCCGTCGTCGTCGTCACGGGCCCCGTCGGAGCCGCCGCCATCCTTGCTGGAACCCTGGCCAGGGTCGCCGACCCGCGCAGGGTTGGACGGACCGGTCTCGTCCTCCTCGTCGCTGTCGAGGACGATGCCGCCCTCCTCGCGTGGTCCGCGCGCGCGGCGCGCGGCCTGGCGCCGAGCCTGGAGCTCCGCGTATGCCCGACGCTTGCGGAGCACCTG